ATTTCGCGCCTTTACGTAACCAACGCGTCATAAGCCGCTGTATAAGGGGTGCTTACGAAATTATAGCACTTTATATTAATCTATCCTCGTTTCGTCGTCAATGGACGTTGTCTAGCCGTCTCTAATCGTCGTCTATCCATTCCCATTGCAGATTTCAACTTGGATTGTTTAGTTTCTCCTTCCTCACCTCTCTTATTTCATCCTTTCCTTTCGGATTACCTTACGTTGAAGTGTTATTTCGCAACTTCGGGAGCAAAGGGACGCAACAAAAAGGGACGAGTCGCTCGTGAACGTCGTCGTCGAGCCGTCAACTCCGAGACACGGAATCCTCCTCTCCCTCTCCTCTCCCCCGGTCCCCAAAGCCAACCGGAGAACACGAGGATCGGCGAGCATCCGACCGCCAAAGACTACCGGGAATCCTGCGGTTTTCGTCAGGGGGACGAGGTCGGTGTTAAACCAGCAAGATTACCGGCCGCGGCGGTTGCGCCAAATACTGTGGTACAGCTCCTTCATCCGGCAACATTTCATTCTCCAGCTTTCGACAGTCCTTCACCTCCAATGTTAACTACCTGAAACGGAGGTGAGTGCCAAGCCCCCTTCAGCGTCCAACACTGCGGTGCCTATTCTCTCTGTGGTCTTCTCTCTGCATGCTCGATGGAATTCTCTCCTCTCTGTGTGCTATTTTCGAGAGATTCGAGGATTTCGGAAAGCGCGACGCTTTCGCGTCTCCTCGGATTTCTATTTGCTCGTACGGTGGCTTGAAAGATTGTTTGTCGATAGCTGTCAATGGCTGCAATACCAGTTATGCAATTCGTTCGAAGCTTGACGATCGGCGAATTAACGAAAATTGTCGCTTTCAATTTGATTATTCGCAAGATTCGAACTTTTGAAAAGTAACAAAAGTAACGTTTCACCGCGATCTCTTTGTGACAATTGTTTTCGATACGACGATTGATTGATCTTTGACGAGGACAAATTCCGACGATTGAGACATTGTAAAACAATGTTAAAATTCGAGAGTTCATTGAAACGCCTCGTTTTGAAACGTCGCGAGAGATTAACGTCCTGGCGAGCGATGAAAATTGTCACTTTGTTCCACGTAGTTGAAAACGTCCAGATACATTCATAATAGAACGTGGAAATGTATAGAGCAACTTGAAACAAAGAGCGTTCGGGTCGTTGTACGACAGATGCTTGTAGAGGTGTACATTTGTCGCGGCCTTTTCATTGAATCTGAGGACAGACTCCTCATAATAGAAGCTTAAAATAACGAACGACCATCTTGATATAAAGTTTCGTTGAACGTGTCGTCTATATTCGAAAAACACGAGGCGAGTAAGTCGCTCGTTCAATCATCTCCAAGCTGTCCGATTCATCCATTGAACTATGATTAACGACCGGTGTTCGAGTTCGACCGACAATTCCAACTGCGCTGCACCGGCTATTTATTTAATTAAAGTACAATCAAGCGAATGAAATTAACGATCGCAAAAATGAAAAAGCGAGCGAAATCCCGAATGCAAGCATCTCGACGTTTTTCTTCACACATCCCATAAATCTCCATAAATGTGTGCATGCAGATTATCCAAGAGAACGCTTTCGGCATCGTGCAGACTGAAAACCCTGAGGCCTCGACGTTTTCCATCTTGGTCACTAGTCAGTCGAGTGATTTAAATGCTCTAAAGAAAACCTTTTTGTTAATTGCAGCCGACGCTTCGTGTCATTCGAAACTCCGTAAACGATATTACGCTGACTATTTAAGACCATTTCAAGCTTACCAGGCATCCCGCGTGTCTCCGTTACGACTTATTAGTCCGGGCGAGCGAAACGCCCGTTATCGGCTACCTGTCATCCCAGACTGTTTTTCGTCGTCAGGGAAAAATCGTCTGCGATCGTCGAGCCACATTTCACGCGTGGCAACGCAACCATCAGACGTGTCCAACCGTTAAAAGTCACCAGCCCCACTGTGCGAGTTGTGTACGCGCATCAGAACCAAATGTGTCATCGCACGCCTGTGTCACGCATGCAAATCAACAATCAGCAATCGTCCATCATCGCCGACGCGTCATCTATGTCGTTTGTATCCCGAGTATCTGGCTGTTTGATGTGTGCATTATAAGCCGAGCCCTGTGAACTGAACGTAAAAAGAAAAAAAAAAAAAAGAAAAAGGCGTAAAATTCCTGGACGATCGGACCGATTGCCACTATCACGACCACGACCATAGTTTGTCTTCCAGGTTCTCGTCAGGGGATTTGAGCTCGGAGCTCGACGATGAACCAAGCACAGACTCCGGGCTGGCCTCCATGGCCAGGGATTCGTCCCAATCGTATCAAGCGGTACCGGATCGGCCATTGCAGTCCCAACCGACGCCTGTTCCACCGGCCAGCCAGCCACCGGTACCCGGAGCACCGCCAGCTGGACCACCTCAACCCGTTGGCGGTGACCTGAGCCTAAACCTGAGGCCCGGATCAAGAACCACCAGCGCTCCTTCCTCGCCTGCCAAGACCAGGGAAAGTTTGCTTCAGAGGGTCCAGAGCCTGACCGGAGCTGCTCGCGACCAGGCACGTTCAATTCTCTTCCTCGAATGCTCGCAAGGATAATTAAATTGTCGTGCGAGTCTTTTAATTTCAATCGCTGGGCAGTCATTTCGAGTATTGAAAATTATAAAATATTGTAAAAATTATAAAATATAATATTCACGAACGCGAAAGAAATTCTTGCCTATTCTTGGTTTTATTTCTTTGATAAATAGTGTAAATTCGTATAAACGTTCGCCAAAGTGCTAGTAAATAAGAGAGAACCGTGACTTGCACTTGGTAGCAATCCGTCGGAATGATAAGGGTTAAATTGTACGAAAGGAACATGGGTATTAGTAATTTTTCTATTACACGATATTTCTGCTATATTAATAACTACTATCTGTTCCTGTTTAATACATTACGTCTATTCATTTCTCTTGTCAAGTGTAACATCATTCTCTGAAATTACAGTGTCTTTCGTACTTCGCTCACCTCTTGAACCGTCTATGGTTTATCACCGTACGCGAGATATACGAGCGAGCATGATTACTTCCGCGAACGAGTTTCATCTTCAAGTTCAATTTCACGAACGAGTAGCACATTGCGCGCGGTATACGTATAAATAGCTGCTGTTGTTTCCTTTTTTTTTTTTTTTTTTT